ATAAAAAGATGCACAAGAAGGTGTAGAATTTTCCACAATATTGGAAACACACCTGTGATGGAGCCACCAATCATGTAGATGTGCGACTGTTCATTGCTATACCAGTAAATACAAGTAAGTCTTCTCCTCTATAATGGTCTCTTTCAACAATGTTTGGCATCCAATAGCATGTCCCTGGCTCACTCCATATCATTTCCCTTTGGGAATTGTTCTGGATGTTAAATTGAGACTCATCCTTAAAGAGCACGTGGCCCCACTGCTTTGGTGTCCAACTGCGATGTTCACAGCCCAATTCAACCATGCTCTGACATGCGATGGAGACAAAATAAGACAAACCAAAGGTCACTGGGCATACAGTCATGGCTCTTCATGCAGTCAAAACTACACACTTTGGCGGGCCACCCTGCAGCAGCAGACAGATGTGATGTCAGCTGTTGTGCTGTTACTGATATACGGAGTCTTGCACATAGCAACAGGAAGTAATCATCTGACATTGTGATAATCCTTCGACCTCCAAACCCACATCTTCTACAGGGGTTTTGATTCCTTTGGTAACAATTCCACAACCTATCGGTGACACTATGATGCACATTCAGCTCTCTTACAACAGCGGATTATCTTGTACCAACTTGCAACATCCTGACAAATGGTGCTTTCAGCTCATGCTTTCTGCATCGGCTATCTCAGATTACATGGAACTACTGCTGCTTGAAGTGATGGATAGGTCCAGCATGCACCTTTTCAAGGTGTTTTAGTGTGACTGCAGGATTGTGTTTTATGCTAATTTTGGTTGCCTATTTCTATTCACTGATGCAACCTCTACTTCATATGTAAACTGTACTTTAATTATTCTTTTTACATATGTATCTTTTCTTTTAGCATTTGTTGCTTATCTTTTTAGTACAAGTGTATTAATTATACCAATTTATGTAGCTACAGCCAAGAGATCATCTCTTAAATTAAAGTTAATTAAGAATTATTTACAATCTAGAATGGTGCAAGAGTGGTTAGAAAATCTTGTGATTTCTATAGAGTCTGACTTTTTAAAGCAGCTAGATATGGAAAATTTTATTAATGAATTTGCCAAAAGTAAAGCTTGAAAAGTCCAATCTCTATAAGACATTCTATTGTTTACCATCATGTATATCTATTTAAAAACACATGCAATCTAATTACATTTTATTTGACTTTCTGTTTTTAAAAATTTGGAATAATGTTTTATAATTTTAACACTGTTTTTTTGTTTTGTTACTACTGCTTCATTCTGCAATAAAAATTTTAGAAATACTTTTTTGTATGTACATCTATTGTTTACTTCAAGTAAACATATACTATATCAGTACTAACAAGTCTAAAGAGTTTGTCATAAATTTCAATGTTGAACTGTGGGAAGCGGTTAGTAATTTTGGCTGAAAATATATTGGGCAAAGAAAGGTGCCTATCAGCATTTCGCATGATGGCACAAAAGATACTTGATGCATTCCTGCATGGAAGATGTAAAAAACAAATGATCAGAACAAACACTTTTCTTGTCATCATTCCAAAAGGACTTAAAGTACTAAATGAACCTTTTGCAGCCATTAGGGTGGGAAAAAGAAAAAAACCTGAAAGATTCCGGATTTTAAATTATGTCCAAAGGGGCATTTTTTTAACCTTTTGTGCATTACCTTTATTCATTATGTATTATGTTCTTCACACTTAAACCATAAAATTCAGTTCAACAGCAATATTGCAAAACAATTTTAAAATGAGCATATCTTTAGAATTTCTGATGCACACTGGAAATAGAAAGGTCCCCCCCTCCCATAGAGTGTTGCCATTGCTCGCTTTTAAATCATTGAGTTTGTTAATAAAAAATTTGTTAAAGTTTTACAAAATATGAAACAGATAATATAACAAATTCCAAATTTAAGCTTCTAGATGCCCATATTTGGGTGGAAACGTACACTGAAGTGACAAAAGTCATGGGATACCTCCTAATATTTTGTCGCTCCTCCTTTTGCCTGGCGAAGTGCAGCAACTCGACGTGGCATGGACTCAACAAGTCGTTGGAAGTCCCCTGCAGGAATATTGAGCCATGATGCCTCTATAGACATCTTTAATTGTGAAAGTGTTGACGGTGCAGGGTTTTGGGCACGAACTGACCTCTCGATGATGTCCCATAAATGTTCGATGGGATTCATATCAGGCGATCTAAGTGGCCAGATCATTCGCTGGAATTGTCCAGAATGTTCTTCTAACCAATCGCGAACAATTGTGGCCCAGTGACATGGCGCATTGTCATCCATAAAAATCCCATCGTTGTTTTGAGTACGTGAAGTCCATGAATAGCTGTAAGTGATCTCCAAGTAGCCGAAGGTATCCATTTCCAGTCAATGATCGGTTCAGTTGCACCAGAGTACCGAGTTCATGCCATGTAAAAACAGCCCAGACCATTATGGAACCACCACCAGCTTGAACAGTGCCTTGTTGACATTTTGGGTTCATGGCTTCGTGGGATCTGCGCCACACTCGACCCTACCATCAGCTCTTACCAACTGAAATCGTGACTCATCTGACCAAGCCACAGTTTTCCATTCGTTTAGGGACCAACCGATATGCTCACGAGCCCACGAGAGTCGCTGCAGGCGATGTCGTGCTGTCAGTAAAGGCACTCGAGTCGGTCTTCTGCTGGCATAGCCCAAGGAAGACAAATTTCGCCGCACTGTCCTATTGGACACGTCCCTCGTACGTCCCACATTGATTTCTGTGGTTATTTGACGCAGTGTTGCTTGTCTGTGAACACTGACAACTCTACGCAGACGTCGCTGGTGTCGGTCGTTAAGTGCAGGTGGTCGGCCACTGCGCTGTCCATGGTGGGATGTTATGCCTGAAATTAGATACTCTCGGCACAATCTTGACACTGTGGATCTCGGAATGTTGAATTCCCTAACGATATCCAAAATGGAATGACCCATGCGTCTAGCTCCAACTACCATTCCGCGTTCAAAGTCTGTTAGTTCTCGTCGTGCGGCCATAATCACGTCAAAGCATCTTCACATGAATAACTTGAACACAAATGAAAGGCCTGCCAAAGCACTTCGCATTTATACATTTTCTACGCGATACTACTGCCATCTGTATGTTTGCGTATTGCTATCCCATGACTTTTGTCACTTCAGTGTACATTATTCAAAATTGGATGGCTCTGGGTACCTTTGTTTTATCACAATGAGAGAAACATACATACATTTAAGCAGATTCTTCATTATTTAATTTTTTTAATATAATACATGGCAATAATATTTGGCGGAAACAATTTGAAAAGTGAATCGGACATTTCTAGGGAACCATTGCAAAATTTCAAAATGAAAATGTAGTCCTTCAGCGCAAATTGCCTCTTTGGACTTTAAAAAAAAAGGGGGGGGACACTTCTATATCTCCCTTTCTACTGAGCCCATTGACGAAACACAAATTGCATTTTTCATGTCTCGTTAGTACGACTTAGGATATATAGTAGATTTATATATAGCACTGTTCTAATATAGGTATTTTGACACAGTATTCGGACATTTTCTGAAATGCAAACTTCATTCGATTTATAAGACTACTCAAATTATGCCTACATATTAAATTTTGTAAAAGTTTTTGCAAAATACAGAGAAATTTTAAAATTTATCTTGGCACATTTTTTTCAGTTTGTACCAAGAATAATTCACTTGGCAAACTTCTCAATTTAAGGCAGTCTATTTTCCTTTCCTTTTTTTCATTGTACACGAGTGGAAAAAAGATCATTGTTCATACTTTCAAATAATTTGAACAAAGTGTATAAACCACGTTTGGCATTATTATCAATTAGAACAAATATGCTAAATTTCAAAACACTGCCAATATGTAAATTCACATATATATTAGGAAATTTGTGGATAAAATAGCTCTATTCTTTTGCAGGTATGCTTAGAAATACATCTACTTTAAGATGATGTTAAAATCTAAAAGTTATAATACAATTTTTTTTTTTTGAAAAATTATAAAAAATATTTAAAATACAAATTTTAAAAATAAATCATAAAAAATGTACAAATTATATTTGGATTAAGCCTAAATTTCGAATTCTGGAATAAGGAATGAAGTAAGTGTAAAGAAAGGATATTAATTATATATTAAATTAAATTAACATTAAGGAGTTAAAATTTTGAGAGCTAATTTGCTAAAAACAACTCGTGAGATTTTTATAAAACTTGGCAGTTTGGCATAATTTGAATCACAAAATCGAAATATGGGTAAAAATTGGTACGCTACTTCAGAAAAAGTCCGATTTTGTGTCAAAATACCTATATTAGAACAATGCTGTATGTAAATCTAATACATATCCTAAGTCGTGCTTTCGAGACATGAAAAACACAAGTTGAATTCCGTCGACCCGCCCAGTAGAACGGAAAATATAGAACTGCTCTTTTTTTTCCTTTTTTTTTTTTCTGCAGTGTACCTGTGAATAAACAAGATACAATTCAAAGACTATTTCTGAAAGTTTTATAATGAGTGGGTTGTAGAATTATCAATTAAATATTCGAGAACGTTAACTGAATAATTTTAAAATGCTCTCCTGTTCTATCAAATTTCTTGAATTTTGAGACTAATGTATCACTTAAAGGTCTATATTGATATGCACATTAGATTAAATAAAGCCTCCACAAAGGAATCTACAGAAATTCCATGGCATACTGCAATTTGTATGGATAAAGGTATCTGTTAAGATTTTCCACAAACTTATTTAGCCCTTCCTGTGCTGATCAGTAATAGTGGTTAGTTCCAAATAGCACATATTTTGAATACTGAACAAATGAACATAACAATTTGGCTGGATCCTGTACATCTGTTGCATATATTTTCAAAATAAATCTAAATATATGTTATTGCTTACAAATGAAACTTAATATACTTAAGCAATGCTCATTTCTAAAATTCAGTAGAGAAAATTAATAATTGTATAACTGCTATCAAAAATTCAAAAGACTAACCTCCTTTGGATCCAGGAAGATTATTTTCTTGTAAAAGAGAAGACAATGCTGCTAATGAGGCTTTTGATGATGGACTTCTCTTCATGGAACTGGAAGTATCAACATGACCAGCTTTCATATGTTTAGGGGCAACCTTTTTCTTATAAAATTTTTTAGTATCATTTTCTTTCAATTCAGAATCAGGTAATAAAGAGTGCCTTTCAGAACAATGAGAACATTTTTTAGATGTGTTCTCATTTACTGTAGATGAACTTGCAACTACAGAACCGGTGGTCTTCATCATATCTTTTGCACTTTTCATTTTCATAGTACAATCGGAGTTCAAAGCATTTGAATCGTCTACAGATATGCTGCCATCATGTTCAGATGCTTCATTATGTGATTCTTCAGCAATAGGCAATAGAAATTGACTTGAAGTATAACCTTGACCTGCAGCCTTATCTGTCTGGTATTCCCAATTTGTTGGAAATGATTGTATTGCTTTTATATCAGTTTTTGTCCTATTTGTTTCTAATGAATTATTTTGAGATTTTCCATTTGCTGATTGCCCTGGCAACCTTCTATCTCCAACTTCACCAGCACTTTTAGTTGCCAACATATTAAACGCCTGTACAAAATCTTTGACTGTTCCTTTTACAGGTGGTTTAATTTGGAGTTCTTCAAAAATTGTCTTTGATTTATCGGATGCTTCTTCGGTTGAAACAGATGAACTGTCTGTTAAATTATGCTTAGATTCCTGATTATCTTTAATTAATTTTTTACCTATATCCAGAACCACTGGTTCTTCTGATAATTCAGATGATGAAGAATCCTCTTCGATGGTATAAGTTACAGTACGTGGAGCACTAACTTCTTCTACTGTCACAACATTTGTCTCAGTCTTTTGAATAGATATTTTTAAACATATATCACTATTGTCATTTGAATATTGCAAAAAATTAGAAGAATTAGACAACGATGAACCTTTTTCAGAAGAATTTAAGTGTTTCATCATTCCATATTTAACTAAACCATATTTTTCCTCTTCACTACCTTCTTCAGAAAAGGATATTGATCTACTAGTAGAAATCTGTGCATCATCAGTCTCGGAATTGCCTTTGCTTTCAATGTCAATTGAAGTAGAAGACAAGTTCTTTAATTCTTGACGACTCAAAACTTTGCGCTTTGCCTTTTTTAATCTGGGATTGGACAAACAAAATTCTTCATCTTCTAATTCTTTTAGTATCTGCTTAGCATGTCTTAGTTTTTCTGATCTTTTTAAACGAAGTTTGTCATTACTGTTAGAATCAGGAACCATATCCAAATAGTTAAGGTTTTTATGCTCCTTTTCTGATTCAGATCTGGCAGCTGATGCAATATTTAAGTTTGTAACATTGCTCAGTGGTGGAGGAAGTGGAGCTCTTCTTTTCTTCCGTCTTCTCCTTAAGGTACCATGAGAACGAATGCTATTATTTCTCACAATTTTAAATCCAATTTGGTTTCGATTTTCTTTCTCTTTTGGAATGCCTGCTTTCACAACCGTGTCATTTCTTGATTTTCCAGTAACAACATGACTATTTTGACTGTGATCACAGGTAGAGGAATCAGAATGTTGAATCGGTGGCAAAGGAGCAGGTCGCTTTTTTCTACTTCTGCATTTTTGCTGTCGACTCTGAAGACTAGATTCAGAGGAATTACCTAAATCTTTAACTGATTTAGGTTTCAGTTCAGGTTTTGGCACTTTACAAACATTAATAGATGCGTATTCACTGAAAGAGGACAATCGTTGACCAGTTAATGATTGAGAATTATGAGAAAGAAAAATGCTTGTAAGAGATTTTCTATCTTTTAAAACAATTTTATTTTTTTGTTTATGTCTATTTGTTCCAAGGACAAGACAAGAGACCCAGTCTTTAAAATCACTGATTAACCTTAAACTTGATCGAGGATTTGATAGTGAATGCTTCCGATTAAAATTAGAGGCACAGAAATCATCTTCAGGATATTCCATACCATTAAATCTGCCACTAGGCCTTAAGCTTGAAAATTTAGAGCAATCCTTAGTAGAAGTTTGAATATGATCATTATATAATCTTCTATTATGATAGTTTTCTAGAGCTTGATTAGTTGAATTTTGGATTGGATTACGTATATTACATGCATTATATGCTTCATATGGACGATCCTCATAGCACATAGATTGCCGTGTCGTTATTCTATCATACACTGGACCATGGACATAAGAATGCCCATTATGTAAACCTTCATTCTGAGCACAATTTGAGCACTATCAAATAAAAAAAATTAATACCTAATAAAAATATATTCAAATACATGATAAAAATACATTTGTACTTTAAAAATTGCACTGATTTCTTGAGTAAATCACTCATTTACAGTAAATCCCAAAATCAAATAAATTAGACATAACCAAAATGTGAAATAAATTAAGACTGAGCTGTCTTTCCAATTTCTTTTAAATAATTTTTTTTTTTTTTCCCTTTTTCTATTTTCCCAGCACTTAAAAGGTAATATGTATATGCTTTTTGCTGCACTTCATTAAAACATATTTCCTCAGATTTCATGTGAAATATATTTATCATTCAATCAATATTTGTAATGCAAAATATCAGATGTGGACACCACATGACTTCCTTGTATGGTCTATTAAATTATACACACTTTTTGCTGCACTTCATTTAAACATATTTCCTCATTCATGTGAAATATATTTATCATTCAATCAATACAGCTCTTGTATCATGGTATGCCAAAAATACATAAAAACTCAAAACATCTTCATTAAAAATTATACAATACAGAAAAACCTAAAACATCAGATACAGTTAAAAGCAGTTAAAAAATAATTCCCACAATTAAAATCTCTATGCAAAAACAAGCAATTCGGCCAACGGACAGAAAAACAAAATTTTCGGTGCACAAACCTGAAACTTAACTTTTGGTCACACTGTGAAAAAAGGCATTGAAGTTCATAAACCAACTGACTTAATTCATTAGTCTACTACTAAGAGTTTCGAATGTAAACAAATGGCATGCTCATTAGTCCTAGCACCCTTTTTTTTTTAATTTTCGATTATTCTAGAACTATTGCCTGCATATTAACTAGAGGCATAAAGATTTTAACCAGAACATAAAAACAACATAATTCAACCAATTTTATAGGAAAAAAATGCAGAATTTACCAACATATAAGAATAAAAATGCCGAGCTCACCGAGCTGGGTAACAAGATGAGCATATGCATGTTTTTTATAGCCAATTGCAATGAAAAAGGGAGGTGCACTGCAACACATTATAGCAGTTCCATATACAAAATTTCAACATTCTATGGCTACTCGTTTTTTAGTTACGTGAGATACGTACATATGTGTGTATGTACAGACATCATGAAAAAAATCTCTGCCAAATCCATTTCACAATCCTCTTTTTGGAAAAAAAAAAAAAAAAAAAGAGTCCTTTATTCTGTCTGTATGTACAGATGTAATGCAAAAAAAATTATTCAAGAGGATTCGAGAATGATCAAAATGGATATTTCCATTGAAACATGATGCACATTTTTTTTTATTACAATACTTTTACTTCATAGAAGGAAATAATGCAGGATTATTATCTTCAAGATACAGCAAAAAGATCTTGCATATTTAAATGTAAAACAATGTTTGCCATTTTATCATCATCTTAAAGATAATATTGTCCAAACACTTGCTCTCATAAGCTTTGCAATTTTGAAGCCTCAACCAGTTCTGAGTGTGCTTATTTAATACTTCAAATTTTGATCTAACATTGACTTTCAGTAAATTAGTTGTCTCTAGTCTATGTTTAATGATTCCAGCATTTAGGTACTCCCAGAGAAAATAATCAGATGGGAAGAAATCTGGTAACTCAGCCAGTCAAATAATCTCCATTACAAATGCGACATTCTGAAAACATTCCTTTCGAAACTTTTCAGGTTTGCCTTATATATGTTTTAAATTTATCTTGTTAGAATTACAAAGACGCATTTTCAAGATCACTTATTCCATGTTGTAAGAAATCATATATCTCTGCATACTGCTGACATGCAACAATGTCAACTCACCTTTCTTCTTCAAAAACGTACAGCCCTTCAGTTTATACTGTAATGACAAATGAAATGTCAGGGCACATATGCTGCTCCAATACACATCAATTTAAATGCCACAACAGAGACAATCATACAGTAGAGTAGCTATTTGAGATATAGAAGATTATCCTGCCAGACCTTCTATATATAAGGAAAAATAGGAGGTTAAAAATCTAAAAATCTTTCCATGAAAATGGCTTATTAAATACATATAGTCCTTAACAGATTATGTTAGTCAACTTTGCACTGTACTTAAAGATGTATGAGAAAATGGTAGAACTATCACAAATGTAAGCAACAAAGACTTAAATTGCATTAAAAAACTGTAGAACATATCAAGTAAATATTTGAGGAAAGCACTTTGTTGGCATCCAAAATGGCGTAAGAAAGATCACTTATTGTAGCTTATCCGAGTCCTGTCATTTTCTTGTAACTACAGATGCATGTTATTTCATATCAGTAGTTTAAAAATGGTGGGAGGGGGAGTGAAATGGAAATTTTAAATATGACTTTGTAGAGACATTAGGATTTGCCCCCCCCTTTTTTTTTTTTTCGTTGAAGCAAGCGAGATGAAGAATGAGCAATGCTCTCACCAGGAGTCAAACCACGGACCTCTCGAATATGCGCTGAGCTTGCTGACCACTACACTACGAAGACATGCTAAGAAGGCAGGAGAAATACCTTATATATGCCCCCTTTTAAAGGTTGACTGAGGATTAGGGAACCCAATCACAAAATCCTGGGAGTGGGGAATCATCATCCACCACATTTTTAGTTTGGGTGTCACTGTAGAGACATTAGGTTAGTTTTGAAGCAGGAAAGGTGAAAAATGAGCAATGCCCTCACCGAGACTTGAACCACTGACTTCTCGAATACATAACCATGTGTGCTTACCAATACACTATGAAGGCATCCTAAGAAGGCGGGGTGAAAAAATTTTATTTTAGTCAAAAATTCTGTGAACAAAAATCAGCCTTCTTTTTATGGAAGTAAGTTTGACCAAGGAAAGTTTGAAAGAAATGTTGCCCAAAATTGTACCACTCATTTAAAACCAATAAATAGAGTTCTGTTGGGAAAAAAAAAAAAATTGATAATAAAAAAATAATAAAAAAAAAGACAAACTTCTAAAAACTATTATAAAACAATTTTTTTTTTAAAGAAATGTTATATTTAAAACCAATAAATGGAGTTCTGTTGATAAAAAAAATACAAGCTTCCAAAACCTAATATAAAACAATTAAGAAATGCTATATTTATTTCTAGAAAAAGTGGAAATTCATAAAAAAAGTAATAAAAATTGACAATATGTACAGGAAGTTAACAATTTTTATAACTCAAATCAATTAGCAATCTGAAATAATAAAAGCATTTTGTAATGCTCAAAAGTCATTCCTGTGTTAGATCAATTTCTAGCAGTTTTTTTGCCAGTAAGAAATTTCATGATAAGTAAAACATATATTAACAATACTTAATGTATTATGTTTAGTAAGGCAACTTGATTGTCTTAAAGTAAATCTGCAGTCCGGTTATTAAAACTTCAAAAATACTGAATGATCTAAAGAATATGTAGGATACTATAACTCACACACATTCTGTAATGGAGAAAAAGAATGAGATTATAACTAACATTATTAATGAAATATATAAAATATCTAAATTCAAAGATATGCAAGATGTAATTTCATAAATTTTAAAATAATTTCTCTATAAAATCTAATCTAATTCCATAAGATGGTCACTTGTCTATAAAGTACATCTTAAAGCTTTAGTAAGTGAAAATCAGTGACAGACAATGGATAAAATTTTAAGATCATAATATTAAACTTAGAGTAAGGATTTCCCATGCAGTACATGTTGCATTCAAAGAGAAAAGCAAATCTTGAATATAGATTACTCATAATCTCACTAAGAATCACAGCTGAAATGCACTGCCATTTTTTCTTTACTTTTGTCTAATCTATATTACTCTTTTTTGGATATCATAATTGAAAGAGTATATAGTACATAATTCCTATTCTCAAATAACAGTGCTTATTCAGCAGTGACACTCTGACAGAAACAGTAAAACCTGACATTCATATTTTAGGTATTAAGGATTTTGGATACACACTTTTATTTCACTCACCTTATATCCTACATAGCTGCTTTATATTACTATTTGTTCCAATCAATGCAACATTTTTCAGTTGATAATTACTTAAAAATTTCAAACATCTGATTATGCACAATAATATAAAATGTGATTTTTCAAAAATGGTAACAGCAACCTGATTTTTATATAGAAAGACATCATAAACAATGATAATAACTAAACTTCAGTACTTTGCTTGCACAATGTAACTTTAAACACATATTAAAGTGAGAGAGTTTTTGGAATGACTTTTCATACAGCATAGAACATTTACAAACTATAAAAATCAGAGCAGAAATTAGTTTTATTTGTTTAACAATCAGGCAAAAATCAATCAGCCTAACACTAGTTATACAAAAAAAGCTCAATTAACTCGTTGCATGCCCTTAGCTCTTTTGACATGCATGCCCTTTTTTCCCCAAAAAAGATAAAATACATTGCTCTGCAAATCTAAGGTTGATTTTTGCCTAATTTTATATTTCAATTAGTAAGCTTACTTCTCTTCCATATGTTTACAATAAACAGCATTTGACATAATTAATATAAATTTCAATAAATGAAAAATGTTATCTCTAATGCATTATTTTCACAGAAATAACATTATCAGAAGCCCCTGGAAGAAAACAAACTGAAATAATATTAATTAAAAACAGACAAGATTCCCTCTTATCAGTAAGGTTTTTAAATTATATAGTTTTCAACTGAAAATTCCTTCCTCCAAATAATAAAAAAGAAGTACAAAACTATATTAAATTTTATCAGATCATAAGTAATTTAAATTATCTTAATTATCATGTAAGAAAATTTTTAAAATGTTTAACAACAAGGAGTTCAATACAGTCATCAAACATTAAATGTTTTAAAAGGTACATGAAGCATTTACCTACGAAAAATTAATTTCATTTTCATTAGGATTTCAACAATTTACAAACAGACAAAGTTGTTATTTTTTAAGACTTACTGCAATAAAGTGAAAACAATATACATCTAGAAAGGGCCATGTTTATTTAAAAATTTGCATTTAATTATTAAAG